TTTTCCTTACTCAACAACTTGCCTCCTCCCGCCCAACTCCTAAGCGTCACTTCTCGGACTGTGTGAGATGTGACGTTTAGGGGTTTGTAGCACAGTGCTATCATTACACTGTTTTATGTCACATCGTGGGGTTTATGTAAAAACCTTTCTCTCACCCTTCCATATTCACGCATTCAGAATTCTGAAATCCTTCATTTTCTCTCCATCGAATATCCTCCAAAACCTCTTCTTTTTCGTTTTCTGCATATCCTCCGCAAATGACCAATCAATATGTCCCTGCTCTTTCTTTCGACGGAACTGACCCATCAGTCCCCTTTGTAGCTTCAAGGGTTCTCACCCCCACTGTTCGCCCCTATTGTACCACCAACGAAGATGCCGATCGTATGAAATCTGTCATCTCTCAAGTTTCTCCGATGTCCATAAATGATGCTGCTTTCAAGCCGGAACGACTTCTGGACAACATTAGGACGCACCTCACTGATCCTAAAGATGCCTACCGTAAGTGGCATGCGAGACTGCGCCCCCACTATCAAGAACAATGGAGGAGGCAGGGCATTGACAAGGCCATCTGCTGTCAACCCAGCCTCTTCACCTCCATGATAAGGCCCTGTTGGAGATGGCAGCCTTCTGGCACGCACAGATGGGAGTTTTCTTTCTCCCTTCTGGTTCCACTGGCCTGACCCTTATGGACGTGGCCCTCATCGCCTACTAACCTATAGTGGGCGACGATCCTGTCCTGGTCTCTTTCGAGGGTCGGGAGCCCTCGCCCGACCACGCTGTTTGGGCCCTCGCCAAACTTGCCGAGAAGAGAGAGGCTGGACTAGTTTTGTCACCAAATTTTTGGGCGAGGAAGGCACCCCTGTGTCCGAGTTGGAACACATAGCATTCCTCCTTTTTTGGCTATGCAGGTACACTTTCTTTCCCTTATACTTTTCTATGTAAATTCAAAGTCAGATATTTAGTTGAGTTTTTTCTTTCTTCACAGATATATAATTCTTTCTCCCTCAAAGCTTGTTCTTTCTTCCCAGGTCGATCTGGCCATTCATCTGGCCAGTGCCCAATTTTTCTCTTTAGGAATCTTATTTTTAGCTAACCTTTTTTAGGATTTATCCCGAGTGAGCGCCTGCCTAACCGATACAAAAAAGGCGGACATAGCTGCTTCGGGACCATTTTGGTTCCTAGAGCTGTGGCTTCGCCTATACTTCCTGAACGCATTTTTTGGCCGACTTCCTATTAGCCCGAACCCTTAGAGGTCAATAGGTTTTGCTTTAGCCTAATTAACTCCTAGTTCCTCTAATGTCCATCCATCCGATCCTGTCATCACCCAAATTTTGACCGAAGACCGAAGTAACTCCCATTATTATGTTTATGAAACTCTCACCCAATATGCCACCGACCTTTTTTGGCTCTATCCCGACACTCCATATCCCCGCTCTTATCCCGATCCTCTTCCCCATCCGACCTATCCCTTCTCATGGGATTCTGCTTTGAAACCCCGATCTCTATTTTCAAGTAAGAGGTCGGACATGAAAAATTATAGATCCTTTTATACTTTTAACTATCAACCCCAGTTTCTAGCCAGACAGTTCGGTTGCTGTCAGGGCCTACCGGGACCACTGGCCTGACCTCACCTTATACCTTAAAGCCTAGAAGGACTGGTGATCCCCGAGCTCATACCACCTTACCTTTCCCAACTCACAAGCTACATTACCTTCAATTCTTACTTACCTTTCCGCCTTAAACCTTTGGCGGCTGAGGCCTTCCCGACCTGGTGGTCAGCCACTTAGTTTCTTATTGCTCCCTCAACCGACCAGTTGGTTGGAAAACTCATTCCGCCCCCAACATTGGCGCTGGGTTCTCCCCGATTAGCCTCTGCCCCTAGAAGGAAGAGGCCGGAACCTGCCGAAGGCGGATCTTGAGCCAAAAAGAAGAAACCGAAGACCGCCCCGACCATCGACAGGCAGGCAATCGAGGAGTACCTGGCGACTCTGCCAGTGGACACAAGCGGACTACCAAAATACTTGAGGGAGCAATTCGGTAAGTTCTCTTCCTTCAAGTTCATTTTCCTTTAATGTGTGTTTTTTCATTTTAACATTTTTAATTTCAGAGACCCCTTCGCTGCCACCAACCACGGCCCCGACTGTCTCTCAGCCGACCGCAACCCAGCCGACCATTACCCCGATCGATCCTCAACCGACCATTACTCCAGATTCTCCTCAACCAGCCGCCGTCCCGACTGCCAATCAACCGACCGCTGCATCATCCGACACACCCATCGAACAACTGCCCACTCAGCCGGTTGGTCCACCAGAAAACCTTCCGACCACTGGGCGACCGACTACCATACAACTGACCTCTCTGCAGGTTGAGGTAAAGGATTTCCTAATACCTCTAACAAAAACTTATTCAACTTCATCACTAATTTCAATTCTCCTTTGTGTAGGTCCACTCAAGTCCTTCGTCGGTTGCTCCTTAACCGACCCCCTTGCTGCAGAGGGGGAACTGCCGATGATCCGCCGGCCGGAGGAACCGGTGGGGAGGCAAACTTCTTCTCTAGTTTCATCTTCACCTGTTCCCCCACCACCACAGGTAACTGCCAAAGTATTTCCACGTAATTCCTTTTATAAATTTCTAACTCATGTATCATTACTTTCAACTAGGAACCTGAAATGGTCGCGGCGGTGCCCGACCAAATTGCCGCATTGCCCGACCCAGTGGCGGCACCGCCTGACCAATTAGTTGCACTGCCTTTGCAGCCAGCCACCCAACTAGTGGGTGAGGGGCCTCCAGCAGCACCCCAACCAGTCCAACCGATCCCACCGCCTCATGACATCGAGGAGATCTCTTCCTCGAAGTCGGATGAAGTTTCAGTAAACTTTATCCCAAGGGGCTCGGTTGGTATTCTTTCACCTTTACCCTCTGATTCTTTCATTTTTTTTCCTTAACTAACATTTCCTTTCAGGGTATGGAGCTGGTCGTTGCCCATCGTCTGCAACCAACAGACGAGTCGGCCATCGGCCCGACGACCCGCCAAGGTACTCCTATGGTGTTCCAGGTCATGGCTCATTCTGAGGCAACAACTATTTTCAACCAGGTATATTTCAACCCTGTATCTATTTTTGGTGAGTTCATTTCTGTTCCTTTATACTTTAACACTTTTTCATTTCAGGCTGCCTAAGAGATGAGTATAATGGCCCAAGTTACTCTCTAGACTCCCGCCCGACCAATCGTAGCATGTTGTGCTGACTTGCCTTTCGCCGACCTGAGTCCGGCCGACCTTGAGGCTTTGGTTCAGGTCGCGATAGACTTGTTAGTGCAGCACTCACTGGAGTCGGGAGCTACTCCCATTCTCGATCGGATGATGGAGAGGATCACAGAACTTCAGGCCAAACTACCTCTGATCCGACCTCCGTCATCGAGGCCACGTCATCTCAACCGGCCGCTGATGCGGCTAGCCTTGAAGTATCCTTGAAAAAGGTCAACGAAGACCTTGATCTTGCCAAGGCTACGCTGGATGAACTCCAACAAGCACGACAAATGCTGGCGGCTGAGATCTCCCGAAAGACGGAAGAGCTCAGACGCCTTCAACAACAATTGGATTCCCTGGATGACAACATCCAGGAAGGAGGTCGCCTGGTGGAAAAACATCGCCAAACACAAACGGGTCTCTACGATCAACTCGAATCAAGCATACGAATGAGACTCGTTAGAGGACACCAGAAGGCCTACCAGCGTCGTCGGGCAACCCGGTTGGAGCTAAAGTGGGCCGACCTCCGAGCTGCTCTTCGGGCCGTTCTTTCTCCCTAGCTTAGTTGTAACATGTATATAACTTCCAGACTTGGTCTCTATACATATCCTACTTTTAAGAACATCGATCCATATTTTTTGCTTCTTCAGCTAAGTTAGAAACTGAACACTGCAATATATATAACTTATACTTTCCCACCACGAATGTCACCAATACACTTACATCCAAAATGGTTTCTCCCCGCATTCGTGTCCCTGCCAACAATTGGGAGAGTTCCTTACAACCATTCCTTCTGGGCAAACACCCCAGAGGTCATCATGCTGAGGACCTGATACAGGTGCTAAAACAACTTGATTTTAAATTCAAGTTCTCTGGCAGAGGTAGGAAGATTATACATCGTACGATTCGCCTGATGGAACGTGTGTCTACCAACTACGAGCCCCTCACTGACATTCTTACCCATATATCTGACATGGATCATCATATGGATATGATAAACCATCATGTTATGGCCACTCTTCCTGACCTTAGCTGGACAGCATCTTCTGTCAGCAAAGATCAACACTTTCCAGGCTAAGTGTGCTTGCTGAACGAGAATGTCATTCTTTACAAGATATGAAAGTTCGCACCGAACAAGACCTTCAAGAAATGCAAGATCGATGGGATTGCTATCATCCGGATTTAGAAGATCTTCTGGATGAAGAACCTGATATGGTTTCTGCGAATTGGGATGAAGTTTCTGAACCAGAGGATGATCATGTTTGTGTCACCCTTTCAGATGATGAATAAAAGCCCCTCCCTATGAGTTCGAACCCTTAAAGGGTTCTTAGGTCTCTTGCAATAAGAATTAATGACAATGTTCTGAAAAGGCAGGAAAATACCTTTTCAGATACATAGCATTAATATTCTCATGTACCAATTTCCCTTCCTGATTCACAATAATAAAAGCTCCATTTCCAATTACTCTGTGAATGATGAAAGGACCTTTCCAATTGGGAGACCACTTCTCTAACTGATCCATTTTCTTATATGTAGGCAGAATCGTTTTCCACACCAAATCTCATTCTGTAAAACTCTTAGGAGATATTCTTTTTCCATAATATTTAGCTCTTAACTCATTTTGTTTGACCACTCAATCGAGAGCATTCAATCGATCAGTATCTACTTCCTCCAATTTTCGCCACATCCTTTGTACATAAGCTTCATCATTATTCACCGTTGTACTAATTACTCTAGGTGAATATACAACAAATTAGGCAGGAAGTACAACATCTTGCCCGAACGTTATTTGGTAGCGGGAAAATCCACTAGAAGTGTTCCTACTATTTCGGTGGGCCCATAATGCTTGAGGCAGAAAGGTATGCCATTTCCTTGGATTTCCCTCCACAATTTTTTGGATAATGCCGATGACAATTTTATTTGCCGCTTCAGCCAATCTATTAGCCTGTGGGTAATAAGGCGACGAATGATGCAGTTTGATGTTGAATTCAGCCAAAAACTCGATAAATGTTTCCCCGGTAAACATCAAACCCTGATCGGTTGTAAGAGTGTGAGGGATTCCAAACCGATAAATAATGTGATTCAGCACAAAATCGATCACTTCTTTTTGTGTCACATTCTTCAAAGGAACTGCCTCTACCCATTTGGTGAAGTAATCAGTTGCTACCAAAATGAACGAATGTTGCTTCGAGGAAGCCGGATGAATTTTCCCTATTACATCCAATGCCCAGGCTTTGAATGGCCATGGTTTGATCATTGCCTGGAGTTCCACTGCTGGTATTTGATTTAACGGGCCATGCCTCTGACACTCTTGACATCTTTTAGCAAATTTGATATATTTTTGGCCAATAGAACCCCAATCTATGAATAGCCCATCGCATCTTCAATCCTGCTCGGTGTGCTCCAAAAATTCCACCATGAACTTCTTCCATCACTTTGATGGATTCTTCCGGTCCCAAGCACCTTAATAACACTCCCTCAAAGGTTCTCTTATACAGAACCCCTTCAATAAGTTGAAAGCATAATGCTTTCAATCGAATACCCATAGGGGTCGCAAAATTTAGTGATTCCAGATAGACCATAATTTTTGTTCTCCAATCGGTACTCGTATCAATATTGCCAACACTTATTTGTTGACACACATTCTGAGCTAAATTATTTGCTTGTCGATTCTCTATTCTCGGTACATGTTCAATAACCACCTCTGCAATTCTATATAACAGGCGATATACCAAATCTCGATATTGACGTAAATGAGGATAATTACAAGCGTACCGTCTTAGCACTTGATTGATGACCAATTGAGAATCTCCGCAAATCATGACCGCTTGTGCCCCTTTAGCCACAAGTGCCTCCAAACCTAAAATCAATGCTCCATATTCTGTCGAGTTATGAGTCATCTCCTCCATTTGAAGTTGCAGACTGATCTTCCGGGCTCCTGGTCCTTCTAATATAACTCCTGCTCTTGACCTCCCTTTAGAACGAGAACCATCAAAAAATTTTTTCAAGGGACTAGTACCTATATAGGGTACCATTTTGTTTTCTGCTAGTTCGCTATTCGTAAATTCAGCCAATAAGTCGGCCACTACCTGCCCTTTCACTGCCTTGATGGGTCGATGTCGCAACGCAAAGGGAGCCAGTCTGATTGCCCATTTCATTAACCTTCCCTGCATTGTTGGTCTGTGCAGAATTAATCTGATCAAATCCACTTTGGTAACCACCTCGGTTTCTCTTGGCAGAATATAGTGCTCCAATTGAGTACATGCGAAGACTAAAGAATAACACATTTTTTCGGGCATGGTATAATTCAGCTCCGTCCCTGCCAGAGTTTTGCTTAAGTAGTAAATAGCCCTTTCCTTACCATCTTTCCATTCTTGTGCTAGCAGAATGCTCACAACATCGAAATTGTTTGCCACATACAGTCTAAGAGGTCGGTCTCCTCTTGGGGGAACCAACACTTGTGGTTTTGTTAATGCTTTCTTAATTTCTTCTAATGCCTCTTGCTGCTCCGGACCCCAAGAAAAATCAGTTGCTTTATTCTTTAGCAACTTTGTGATAGGTCTTAACTTTTCTGCGGCATTTGATATGAACCTCCTCATGTAATTTACTTTACCCAAAAAACTTTGAACCTCTTTGACCGTCTGAGGGGTCGCATCGTAAAAAAGCTTTAGTTTTGTTTGCATCAACTTCTATTCCCTTTTCATGCACTAAAAAACCCAAGAAATTTCTTGCCGAAAATCCAAATGCGCATTTCGTTGGGTTCATTTTCAGGTTGTATTGCTTCATCCGTAGGAAATCATTTTTCAAGTCAACCAGATGTGTATCAAAGTCAGTAGACTTAATGATCACATCGTCAATATATACCTCCATTGACCGTCCAATCAAATTGTGAAAGATAGTATTCATTGTCCGTTGATAGGGTGCTCCAGCATTCTTTAAACCGAACGGCATAACCGTCCATTCGTATATCCCCAAGGCTCCTGGGCACCTGAACGCGGTTTTTGGTATATCTTCTTCTGCCAGTGAGATCTGATTATACCCTGCATAACCGTCCATCAGGCTTAAAATTTGGTGTCCTGCTGCCGAATCGATCAACATATCAGCTATGAGCATTACATACTCATCTTTAGGAGTAGCTAGATTGAAATCTCTGAAGTCAATGCAGATCCGAATCTTTCCATTCTTCTTGGTTACCGGGACAATGTTGGCTAATCATTCTGCATATCGACAGGGTCGAATGAACCCTACTTTCAACAATTTCTCAATTTCTTCTTTGATCTGTGGAAGCAATTATGGACTAACCCTTCTTGGTGGTTGCTTATACGGCTTGAACCCCTTCTTAATAGGCAACCTATGTTCTATTAAATCCCATGCCAATCCAGGCATTTCAGAATAATCCCATGCCAAACACTCCATATGGTCCCGAATTACCGTTACCATTTGCTCCTGCTGGTTTTTAGACAACAAACCACTAACCCTGACCATCTTGGGTATCTGTTCGGTTCCCACATTGTATTCAATGAGCAGATCCTGAGTTGACAAGAAAGGTTCTATTTTCTCCAGCAGGTCAGGCCAACGAAAGCCTTCTCCCTCATCAACATTATTGTTGGAACCTTCCTCACTATGTAGTCTAACCATTAATTGGTTTAAATAAAACTGCCTAATCAATAAGCCACATTCACCCATCTCTTCCATAATTAAACTTTAATAAATTTAACGCTTTTGGCTAACAACAGAGCCACAAAAGAAAAGGATGTTTCTAATGAAACACATACCGCTGCGCAGTGAGCTTACAGCTCTTCCAGGGAAACTCATCTATCACAGCTATTTGTGAGATCGGAGGTACACACTCAGAGTAAAGTATGGATTCTTCCACAATTTCTGTAGAGCAGAATGGATTAGTGTTGGCACCCATTCTGAACACTTAATCTCGTTCCCAGAACATGATCTGCTAATGGAGAGAAGAGGGCACGCACTTGGAAGCGTGAATCCAATCTCGCCCCAACAGGACCGAGTAAGTGGTGTTGGCATCCACCACAAAGAACACAGTTGAAATCACCTTTGGTCCCACCTCACTAGGGGCCACCATCATCCCCTCTGGATCCTTCCGATGATTTGGCCCGACCTTAGTCGTATAAAGTTATCTCTTGATGTAGGATCAGCAATCTTGTCTTTCTCCCACTGTGGTCGCCAAATTGTTGATGCAGATTTTCAACAATAAAAAGTAAAATCTGAAATAGAAATTATCTTCGAATTTGATAAAATAAATGACTGAGATTAAGAATCTCTAGACACTGTACGATACATAAAAGAAATACTATAGACTGTAAAAATAAAAGGATGATCCCAAAAGAAATTCACTAAATTTGATGTCGATTGAAGATGCCGCTTTTAGGTCGTGAAAAGACCTATTTAAAAGAACATGTCAACCGCCCAAATGTTGTTATCAGATCGTGCCTTCATATCCGATTGCCAGTTGTAACTTCTTCCAACCGCCTTGGAACTGCTTTTCATCCGACCTACACGTCCACTGCTTCGTCTCCCTTTGCCCGTCTTTCATTTGTCCGACCTCCGCATCGGCCGCCTCATCTTTCTTCGCCCGACTTTCCTTTGTCCGACCTCCATGCCAACCAACCTAAATGCCTATTGTCTCCCTTTCCTTCTTCTGACCTCTCCTTGTCCGACCTCTATATCCACCGATTACCTAGTCACAGGTTCTCCCGAAAAAGCCCATTTTCTTAATAACGCCTTGACCATTGGGACTATACCCAAATCCATAGTCTAATTTACAAGTCTATTCTCGAAAAACCCTACACATTGGTTTTCCTTACTCAACAACTGTAACTCCCATGACATGATTAATTTCTACAAAACCAACCTATAGACCAGCAAAAACAACATACAATTCACCACTTACATGACCTGCTAATAAAGACCATACCGATACAAAAACCTGCAAACAAGCAAAAAAAATTTAAGCCAAACCTACTTGATCGATATTAAACTGAAACAATAGACAATTCACCACTTACATTATCGGCTAACATTCTAGGCAGCCCTTGTCCAAGCAGATGTGGCGACGACGCCCGTGTTCTTTATAATTCGAGCATTCAAAGGGAACACAACCATGATTTTCCGAATGTATTGAAGGATGATGAGAGAGGTAACTGTATGGTTAACATTGGTGGTTGTTCTTGACATCACAGATGGCATAAATCCCCAAATTGCAAAAACATCAGCTAATTTTTCTTTACAATCAAGATAATATTTTTAGAAACGATAGAATCGAATGAATTCTAAGCAACAAAATTATAAACAATGAAATAATAGCATGTAATAGCAATTACTCATTCAATGATACTCACAAATCATTCTTCCTGAAAATAATGGACTTGGTTGCGAAGAAACTTTCACCGACGTACGCCATTAACGTACTTGGTTGCAAAGAAACCTTCAAACTCTGTTTGGTTCAAATGAGGGGAGAGGAAGGAACGGGAGACGAGTCTAGGAGAAGGGAGATAAGATAATATTAAAATTGTAATAGGCGTGTTTAGTTGATATGAAAGGAAAGAAAGGAGAAGAGGCAAAATAATATTTATGTGTCGGGTAAAATGAAAATAGAATAATTTTATTAAGTATATAAATAAGAAAAATAAAAATATTTAATAAAATTTTATAAATATATTAATAAAATATTAATTTTGATATAAAAATGATAGATAGTGTGACCTAATTTATTTTTAAATAAGTATATATATACTTTTATTATGTAAATAAAATACAATATAAATAAAATTAAATAACATGTAAGAAAATTAAATTATTTAATGACAAAATAACTATTCTAACGTAAAATTTATTTATCTAGAATAAATTATATGATAAATATTGTTTGTAGTGTTAAATAAATAAAATATATAAAAATTTATTTTATTAATTTAAATCGCACTCTTATCCGTTTAATTAGATGATTAGATTAAAAATAATTTATTATGATTTAGATAAAAAATTTGTTTTATAATTTTAATTACATTATATAATTAAAAATAATAACTAATATTTTTTATTATAAAATATGTATAATACAATTTATGTATATAATTGAATACAAATATAATATAAATTAAGAGATCAAGCATCTTTATCTCCCCTTCAAATTTTCCCAATTTGGAGGGAAAGCAGAATTCTTTGCAAATTATGTTCGTTAATTACGAATGCCCTCACAAATTCCTTTGTAAAAAAAAATAAATAGCGGTATTTGCACGAGAAATAAAATTCCGACAAAATTGTCCATAACTCTCTTGTGGTTTCAAAACTCAGCGTATATCACTTTTTACTTTAAAAATTGCATGGCGCCCCCTTATACTATCAAAATGCTGCATGAAACCCCTCTGTGGTTTCGAAATTAGGGTAAATCCCCACTTTACTTTAAAAATTACATGGCACCCTCTTATACTTTCAAAAATATTGCATGAAACCCCCCATGCAAAAAATATAGATAGGAAATTATCTTCTCTTCACACAAGGGAGGTTTCATGGCGGTGGAATTTAATGCAATATTTTTTAAAGTATAAGGGGGTGTCATGCAATTTTTAAAGTATACAAGGACATTTTATGCTAAATTTCAAAACCACGTGAGAGTTATGTACAATTTTACCTAAAATCCCTAACAAAAATCCTTAGCTAGTTCAGAATTTTATGTTACACTACTTTATTACACTATATATTTATAAAATATTAATTTACCTTAATCTACGTGCAAAAGTAAAAATGGAAGCTTACCGGTGGACGGAGGGAGTATCATTCATATGGGACTGAGGGAGTATTATATTTGAAGGTAAAATCCAAAAATAAACGAGAAAGCAAACAAGAAGACAAAACTAGAAAAAAACTCAAAGGACTTTGTATTGCTAAACTTCTTCAAGTGATGACACATACAATGAACTAGCATCTATTTATACACAACCAAATGAGCTAAGAGAGGGAAAAAAAATAAGAATTAATCCTAAACTAATGCTAGCCCAAGTCAAGCCATGAAATGTGCCCAAAGATTATGCCTAGCATAGTTTTTGGCTTTAATTGAATGAATTGTGCTTTGATTTTTATTTATTTATTATATATTTACAATAGATTAAACTATCAAACTCCCCCCTAATCCGTTGTCTTCACTTGATCCCGCTAATACCAATTCTTTTTCAAAGCTCCATAAATCGAATACGTCCAAGTGGCTTTGTCAATATATCTGCAAGTTGATCATTGGTCTCGTTGTATTCAAGGATAATTTCTCCTTTTTCGACACAATCACGGATGAAGTAATACCGTGTTTCAATATGTTTACTTCGATCATGAAGGACAGAGTTCTTAGTGAGTGTTATAGCAGACTTGTTGTCCACCCTTAGTTTTGGTGCATGTACCTTCCATTCCAGTAATTCTTGCAGTAGTCGATGGAGTCGTACGCTGGCAGGTGGTTGTTGTAGCAGCAATATACTCGGCTTCGCATGATGAGAGAGCTACAATCTGTTGTTTTTTAGATTGCCAAGAGATCGGACTACTGTCAAGGAAGAATATGGTACTTGCGGTGCTCTTCCGACCGTCTAGG